AAGTTCAGATAATTTGTGGGGCCATAACGACAGGCTTTTGAGGCCAGGGGAAAAAAACAAACAAACAAACAAAGAAACAACAAACTCTCTTGCTTCATTAGAGGATAAGCATCAGTAGAACCGCTGAAATGACTGAAATGGTGCAGTCTGTGTATTGTATTGTATCCAACACCTTGGGAATTTCTAGGGAAAACACTCTAAAACCTTAGCACAAATCCTGCAGAAGATGGAGAGTTAGGGAGATGCAACTGTTCAGAGATTGCCTTCTTTTCATCTTCTAGAGGCACTCTGTGGAATTTGAAATGTCTGTAGTTGGTATTCAGTTGGATTGCCCAGGTATAAATGTAATAAACCAAATTATTCTTCCTCAGTTATTCCTGTTTGAGCTCTCTTCCCAAGATACTGCTCTGTGCACAACGGGATTTCTGTAATAATTACCCCTGAGTACCCAGTAGAATAAGCGGTAATTACACTGTCTAAACATAGAAATAGATTCATGTGCCATCGTTTCCAAAACTGACAGGAAGCCTTACTCCAAATTTCTAAGAGTTTTTTAGTTTTCATATTCCTCTAGCACTGCAAGATTTAAGATACACACAGGGTTGCACAGACTTACTTGCTCTGCAGCTTATATGTACTACCTGTCTTGTAACTTGTATAATAAACAGTTGCTGTACCCTTGGGTTCCTTCCCTTAGCTGCAGAGTAGGGACAGCAGATGTTCTGCAAAATGAAATCCTTCATGATTATGGGATTGCTCAGAGGGCCATAATACCTACCCACCCCCAAGAGAATGAGTCAGTCAAGCAAACTAGAATACTATTCCTATTTCCTGTTAGCACAAATGGAAAACATAACACTGTTAGTAAACCATGCCACTAAATGGAGGCAAAGAACCAGATGCAAAACTGGCAGAAGAAGTTTATACCTATATTTTGATAGTCTGAGAGATCATATAAGGTACCAAGGAGAAAAATTTTTTCCTTGAACAAAAGCCCACCTTCCCTACCCTGTATTTTTGCCAAGCTAGAGGGTCTCAGGAAGAATGAAAATGTTGAAAAAACTAAAAGGCAAACCAAGGTCTTGACAGCATGTGCAATTCATGCCACTGTCCTAGAAGATCTGCTTAATATCGGTTCACGATATTCTGCTCCTTCACAGTTATGTACTTTCTCAATTACAGAAAAATAATTTATCTCATCAGACTGACTTGCTGAATTAAAGATTCTAAATTTCTTTTTCGTGCCTTGGACCAAGGCACCAAATATAAACCCTCTGTCTACAGTTCAGTCTCTAAATATAGCCAAGAATTAAGATATTCCTGCTCCTGCATCCTAAATAATCTAATGGAATCAATTACAGTATGGTCTAGATGGCATCTGGTATTTGCAAATACAACATGAAACACAAAATCCAATGAAAATAAGCATGAAACTAAAGTTTCCACCCATCCTACTTCATTCCCAGTAAACATATTATTGTTCTACATCACAGGGTGGATTTTTCATATTTCTTACAGACTTCAGCTTAGAAGCGCTCCAAGAGAATGTAACACAAGCATGAAAAATGGGCTGATAACTTTGACTTCAACCAGTGGTTAAGCCAGATGAGTGAACATCGTTCATGTATTCACTGAGAACACTGTACCGGTGCTTGGATTTTCAGCCTTGCACTTTTATGGATCAGCATGGCAGTCACGCCGAGCTAAATAACAGTTTGCATTGTCAGATACAGCAAGGTTCAGAGTGAACACCAACATCAGCTGTGAAAAGGATGGAATCTGAAATGGATTAAATACAACTCTGTCCCACTGTGCCAGTAAGATCTTTGCCTATTATATTCGGAAGCTAAGGACAGTCCCACTACACAGTATCCATGTTATCAGCCCATTTCAAAATACACCCCCTTGCAGCACTTTCCTAACATTGTAATTAATGTTTTATCCTCAAGAAGCCAAACATACTGTATTAGGGCTAGAATGCAAACTATCCCTGAATGTAAGTACACAGGATCTGGGGGGGTTGGGGTTTTTTCCTGTCATGTTGTTGTTTTTTTTTCTTTCAAATACCTCCTAAATTGATGAATATAACTGTACCTGCAATCAAGGGCTGCCCTCTTCCTCCTCTGAGTAATGCACGTTCAGGAAGGAGATGGGTCATGTCCCTCTCCGTACTCCAGAGCAGAGTCAAAGCATAGCAAAGCAAGCAGTCCTGCTGTAAAGACTGGCTAACCTGTGGGGTCTGAGCAGCCTTGGAGGAAACCATCCCTCCTGAAATACTCCACAATGAAGACCCATGTTTCCTCAGCTCCTGTTGCTACTGTGTACTGCCAGACTTGCAAACCTCTGAAACCATTGGCCGTGGCAGTCCATACTGAAAGGTGAATGCTGGAGAATTTTCAGTGGTAGACGGTGCTGGGCAGAGTTGAAGATACGAACCATTCCTGTGAAACCACACTTCTGACTGCCTCCTGGACATGCCATGTGCTGTGTGTGAGCAATTACAGGTGCAGATTTTACCTTTCTGCAGCTGCACAACTCCCATCCGTTTCACCATCACTTCCCACCAGCTCGAGTAGGGATGGAAGGAGGTGATCCCCACGTTCCCCTTGCCTGCCTGATGTTCTGTTTCTTCCCTTGCTCTGGCCCAAGTGCTCTCTTCTTCCCAAGCTGAACGAGACTGGGACTTAAACAAGTTAAAATTAATTTTTTTTTTTTTCTTTCCTCTCTGGATTAATTTTAAATCATGCCTACTCTTTTATCCAATTCATCACGTACCTGCAAAAATGCTGCTGCCAGCACAGAGAAGGAGACAGCTCAGGTGAGGGAATGAGTGTCTGTGAGCTGTGCAGGAAAAAAGGGAGAGACACATTTATTTTGGTGGCAGCAGCAGCTTGTGCTGTGTTAAAGTTATTGTGAATCTACAGCAAAGTCACCAACTGTCATCATCATGTCTGAGTGGATAACCTTCATCCTGGCCCCTTGTATTTATAGTACAACAGACTCTATATGTGCTTTATATATATAGCTAAAATGGTGTAAGAAATGCATGAGTTTATGTACACAGGTAGAATGCATGGGATGTTTTCATTCTCAGATTACAGCCCTACAAATACCTAAATATGGGTAATTTCACTGGTTTCTGAAACTAATGAATTTGTGGTTTTATACAAATGTCTCGAGAATCTCTGTCTTACAAGAAACAAATATTCCCTGTGAAAATATCTGGCTTTAATTCATTTAGCCATAGTCATAGCACTTGCTGAAGCAAGTACCATTCACAGCATGACACAGCTGTCTATGAAATAATTTAACTGCATCATGTGCAGTCAGCAGAAGTTCAGCACTGTAATTTGGAGAAACTGACTCCATACTGTCACTCGCTGTTGGAGCTACATATTACGCTGCAACACTTTCCCTTTCCTTCCTATCTGTTGTAAAAATATGGTCAGTTTTTCAATGATGTCCAAGTATCCCTTGTTAAAAACACATTTATAGTTGATTTTAAAATGGTATGGCTTTTTTAAGTATGTTGTTTTAATGTTTAAGAGTTCAGCAACTATAAACCATATGAAGTAATATCAATAGCATAAGCAGGTGCCCTCACCACAGGTGGTTAAATGTTTCTTCATTGTTTAATTTGACCAAACACTTCAGAAATTACTTGATTCTACTCAATGACAGTGTAAATAGAAAAGTTAGCTATGCAACAAGCTGAAATAACCACCAACCTTGTTTTGCAGCATGAGTTCAAGTTCTGAAGCTTGGCCCTTGCTACATGTTGTTGTGTGTAAACTCTCTATAAGGACACTATTAAAGAAGAAGAACTCCAGGAGTTTTATCGACCGTGTAAATGCAAACTCTCGCAGCTACTGCTTGAATGTGTGTAGACAAAGTAGCACATCTCTGGGTTGCCTGTGCATGATGTATCCAGGTGGCAAATCAGCCAGAGCCTGCCTTTCCCCAGCAGTCCTGGCTGCAGCAGGAAGCCGTGCGGGTGTGCAGCACAGCCCACGCTGCTCACCTAGGCCATCTTCTACCCGCTTCTGTTTTAAAATGGGCTCCACCCCACAGTAATCTCTCTGTACTTTTCAAAGGCAAAGGTACTAAATTTATTCTAATTTATATATACTTGTAATAGCATGATGTACAAAGAAGATGTGAGCCATTAGAAGGATCCTGACATCTAAACCTTCCCAAATAACACAACTTAGCAACACCTTTTCTAACTTCTTTTGAAAATTAAGTAATGTATGGAATATTACTTCCAGCTGTATATTGCAAGTCACTGGAAGGAAAAATATCTTGGCCTAATAAAACCCAGGAACGACTGGCAATGAGCAAGAGAAAATCTTCTGTGACCAGCATATAGTCCCAAAGTTGGAAATATGTTGGAATATGTATTTTGGAAATACATATTTTTTATTCATTTTATTTGCAGAGATAAGTGGCAAATTGCCCAGTTATGACACTTAAAATAATCTCGGCTCTTAACAGACAGCTAGTAGTGCCCTTGATATACTGTCACTTATATCAATTTCGTTGGTACAGCATTGACCAGAGAAGTCAAAAAGTAAAAAAGATCAGTTTCCAGCTCATGTTTAAAGTGAATAACCATCCCGTTATATTTTTAGTACAATGGAAAGAGCTGTGATAGTCATACAGTAAGGAACAACTCAGGCTCTACCAAGTGTTACACAAGCTGTGTAGCTTGCTGTTCAAAAGGGTAATAAACAGTCCTTTTAGTGTGGCCAAAGCGATAAGAATAGATGTGATTCAGCGGCACGGCAGCGTAAGCGTGTCATTGAAACGTGGTCTTCTGGAAACTGCTTTTAGCACAATAGAGCTATTACTTGGCCAGCACAGTTGATGGCCACATGCTTTTGTTGCCACAAGCTGTGAGAATCAGTAGAATCAGAGATTGCTGTAGAAATGTGAATGTACTTTATGACGGTCTGTAGTAATTCTGTACATCTCTTATGTCTGTGTTCTTATAGCCGCTTGGGCACTGAAGTAGCTGAAATGAGAAAGAGGCAGCAGTCACAAAATGAAGGAACATCAGCTGTGTCTCAAGCACCTGGAAACCAAAGGCCCAACAACACATGTTGCTTTTGTTGGTGCTGTTGCTGCAGCTGTTCATGGTATGTCCTGTAGTATATTTGATTCCGTATCCACCACAGGTAAACGATGAGAATGGAAAGTGCCAAGCACTGGGAACTTGTAAACTTCTGGGAGAGGATTGCTGCCAAGAGGCACACTTCCACATTTCACTTAAAAATTTGATTAAACAATTCCCTGATTTGGCTGGACATCTTGTGAGGGGGAAGAGGAGAGAATAGTAAATTCAAGCTATATTTACTCTACTTAAACCATAACTAAATGAGGAAATTTCAGTTGTAAAACTAGTGTGTGTGAATGAGAGACTTGATACTGAACATTTTATAATTTGCATTCAAAACGTTTCTTTCTGCTTGTACTTTTGATATTGCAGTTCTCTGCATTCAGGAGAGTAAAACGAATATGGTCATAAATGTGAATATATGGTGACTTGTTTTACTACTTAGCTCTTGAATCATATATATTCTGTAAATTTGAAAACACAAGCCTTAAATTCTATTTTATCTTTTAACTGGTGCGACATGATTTTAGTGGAAAAAAAGGCTCGAAAATTGTGGCTGTTTGTCTCTTCCTAAAGAAAGAGTTCACTTGGAAAGTCAAACAATTAAAGCCAGTTTCAGAAATAGCTTTAAATTCTCAGTGTCTTGAGATGCATTAGGTCTTTATTTCTTATTTTGATAATCACAGTTAGTACTGAAACATAAAGTAATTGACATGTCGTACTGTTCTGAGCCTGTGTATCCTGTTACATACACAGTTCCATCTTTTTGGAGTGACCATTCCTCTGTGTATCTGTGTTATTTTCACTTGAATCAGCCATCTGGCCTCAGTCTAAAATCTGAGGTTGTTCGCCCCCAGTATATTTAAAAATACATACTGGCATGTATGCACCAGGCATGAAATGAGACAGCTTTTTCCAAGGTGCCACATCCTGGAGGCAGTACCAGGGTGAACCTGCCTCGGCTGTTACTTCCAATTTCACCTAGAAGCAGAGAATATTTGGAGCAAGGATGAGCAAGAGTTCATGCTTTTACGAGGTTACTTTGCAATGTGTTCAATCCATACAGCAAAGAGGTGAAAGTGTATTAAATGGGAAGAAAAGGGAGGATGTTTTGCCACCGATATCTCTGCTTTGTGACAAGGGCACGATGTAAGATTAACTATACTGTCACAGACCAGAGCTTCATTTAGCTCAGTATCCTATTTCGGGAAGTGACCTGTAGAAGATGCCAACAGGAAAGGATAAAACAAGTGGACACGCACCTCCGCAACCTACCCGCAGCAAAACTCCTCACAACTGCTGGCAATCTGCAACCTAGGGACTTCCTGGCCCAGAGTTTATTTCTGTGTGGTTTATAGCCCTTGATGGAATTTTCTTTCCTTAATTTGTCAACCCATTTTCTGAAGTGACTTCCTGAACTCGTCTAAACTTTTGGCATCCAGAGTTTCCCATAGCAATAAATTCTACAGTGGACCTGTGCACTCTGTGAACTATTACTCCCTTTTATTTGTTTTAACCTTCTGGATGTTAATTTCACTTGACACCTCCTTGTTCTTATGATTGTGGAGAACAGTGAATAATTGTTCCTAGGATGATCAAGATTTTATTGAGCTCTCTCATATCCCCTTTCAGCTGTCTTTCCTTCCATAGTCATCTCTATTTTATTCACTGTGATACAGAAACTGACCCAGACCGTGATTTATCCTTATCTCTCTTCTATCTATCCACCTACCTTCTGTCTCTCTATGTACCTTTCCTATTCTACTATCTCCTGTCTGAGATGTGTGACTAGATCTGTTGCAGTAGTTAAGACATGGGTGCACCATGTTTTGTGTTTGCTCTTCATTTTTTATTATTAATTTCTAGTTTTCTGCTTGCTTTTTAACAATCCCTGAGATGGTGTTTTCTTAGAATTATCCGCCATGACCACAGCATCTCCATACTGAATGGAAATAAAGCCCATTATTGTGCATGTACAGCTAGGGCTGGCTTTTGCCTTGCATACTGGAACGTGAATGGCCATAAAAGTATCAGTCTAATTTCTAAAACTTAAAGACAGCTGATTTTATTTTTTAAGCATGCTATAGCTCAAGAAGTCTAATTTGACAACTATACTTCTATTTTGAAGCGTTCGTGAGCGTTTGTGATCCTTGGAGTGCCTCCACTCCTTAGAATGCAATACCGTTATATATTTGAACAGCTTATGCATATTACATCTCAATTAGAGAAAATACTGCTTTAGAATGCAGGATGTCCCTTCAGCTGCTTTAGTAATTGTTTTTGCTGTTAATATCCTGCCTTTTGGGGTTTTTTGGAGGTTAAAGGTTTTTTTTTGGTAAAGTAGATTAGACTGAGCATGGAGAAATCCTATCAATTTAAGCTAGTTTGCAGGATTAAGTCAAAGAATGGGTCGAAGAGGATAGTGACATCACTTGCATTTTCTAAACTCAAAGAAGTAGAACAGATGATGTAATAAGTCTTTTCCAGCTCTATCTTCTGTGATTCCATAGTGGAAACTCCATTAGAGGAGAGATGGGACAAAACTTTGAAAAAGGCAATAAGAAATGTTTCAGAATCTTGGTTAAAATTAAGTAAATGGTTCTGGTGCCAAATTTGTTTGATAAATTAGAACTACCCAGGTAGACTATGGATTACTGTTCTTGCCTCAGTTGTGTACAAACTTTACTAGTCATTATATAGGTTATATAGGGGGTTCTAGGTAGGTAATTCTCTAGGGTAGTTCTCTGTAGTAGGAAACCTGAATCAATAATTGTAACAGGTTCTCCGGACCTAATGTAAGTATATGCTTTTCTCAGTTCCACAGCTCTTTGTGTTTGAGTAACGTGAATTTCTCAAGAGATACCTGTCTGGAAATGTTGCTGGATTCATTAATGGTGATGACAATGCTTTAACTGTCAATATCAAGATTAGGAGAATTTTCTTCTGTTTTTCCACTAGTCCATGTGACTGAGGACAGCTCTTATATCACTAACCTCTTAGTTCCTCAGCTTCCTCACCATTCATAGAAATGGAGGGGGTATGTACAGCTTTTAGTGGGAAGCTTTCACTTTTATCTATTTGAAGAGTTAGTTCAATAGTTCGTCTATCCAAACAAATCATTAGAATTCTAAAAATATCTTTTGTGAATCGTATGATGTTTGTTTTCTTCTGTTCCACACTGTGTTAAAATCAGAACAGGCATTAAGTCTTCTGTTTGCATAACAGCATAGGCAAATATTCACACCTTTGTTTGGGGAAATAGTACCTTGCCTAATAGAGACTTGTTAACAGCAAAAAGTTAGATCAAAAAATTATTCAGTACATCTTATTACAAACTTTTTTCCCCTCTAATAGTTCTTTCTTAAAGGTAACCAGTATTTGGAGTACTTCTCCATTGTTGTGGGATAACCCTGGCAGGCAGCCCAGCCGCTCGGTCACTCCTGTGGGATGGGGAAGAAAAATCAGAAGGGTGAAAGTGACAAAACTCATGAGTTGAGATACAGACAGTTTAATAGATAAAGCAAAGCTGTGTACAGAAGTAGAACAAACTAAGGAATTCATCCACTGCTTCCCATCAGTCGGCAGGTGTTCATCCATTTGGGGCTCCATCATGCATAATGGTTGCTTGGGAAGACAGATGCTACAACTATGAACCTCCTTCCTTCCTCCTTCTTCCCCAGCTTTTATTGCTAAGCACTATGTCATATGGTGTGGACCATCCCTTTGGTGAGTTGGGATCAGCAGTCCCAGCCGTGCCCCCTCCCTACTTCTTGTGCACCCTCAGCCCACTGGCTTACAGAGCAGCATGAGAAACAGAAAAATTCTTGATGCTGTGCAAGAACTGTTCAGCAACAGCTAAAACACTGATGTGTTATCAACACTGTTTTGGTCACAAATCCAAAACACAGCACCATATGGGCTGCTATGAAGAAAATTAACTCCATCCCAGCCAGACCTGGTACATCTATTGGCACTGATAATCGTCAGGACAGTAAATTGCTCAGTTTACAAGGACAAAGCAGGGCTGATTAACAAAGTTTGCTCAGATTAGAAAAGATGGAGATAACGAGGCTCCTTAAATTGGCCATTTTATTGTAATAGGTATGGTCAGAATGTTAGCTAACCAGCTTAAGTCCTGAACTGGTGCCTGAGCATCAGTAGTGAAGGAAGTAGTCCTCCTCAGTGGAGAAAATAAAGTGCTTCTGAAGTTCACAATGGGAAAAGCTCATCTGCTTACCACAGAGGCAGATGATATATCTCTCTGGAGATCTTCTATAGGACCTTGCTCTCTCCACTGACCTGATACAGGTCTTTGGTGCTTACTTCAGGAAGACTGCCTCACTTAAAGCATCTAACAGATGAATACCAGTCAGGTACCTAAGGTGCTGGACTGAATCTCACCTGGGTCTTAAGCTTCCACAAAACACCATTCCCATGGAAGACATAAGAAAAGGCTTCCTTACTAGGTGTAATTTCAATTCAACTTGGGTAGCCTGAGAGTTGCAAAATCTGCAGTAAGACTCCTAACATGACAGTCTGCAATTCCCGCAATTACACTTTCTCCAGACAGCTGCACATTTAGTATGTAGTGCTATGGCTTTACGATTTTGAGCTCAGCTTGGTGAGGTAAGGGTAGAAGCCTGCTATTTCACCTCCCAGCCTTATTTAGCAATCCATTACTCCAGCTTCCTGAGCAGACATGAAGCCAGTTATACTCTTGCAAACACTTGTAAATCACACTCTTCAAAAAAACTCTCAAGATGCTAGCACAGGGAGGTTGGCTGTTCTGACGATTTTATTTTGCTTCCTCTTTAGTCTCCCACCTAGAGCAGGAGTCATATTTTTTCATTCTCTCTTCCTCTCGTAAGGTGCTCAGTGAATTTTAAAGCTCTGGGATACTCTGATGCCTGACAATCCCTCTCCTTTTAGCACACACAGAAGGCTCAGGAGGCATCTAACATCTGCCCTGCAGGAGACCTTAGCAGTACAGGAGTCTGGGGGACACGAAACAGCTTCCAGGGG